TAAGATCATGTAATTTCTGCTCCCCTGTTTGTTTCTGATCCCAAATCCATTGACTACCTAGGAGATCCACTTCCATGGACCTTCAGTCAATGTCTGTGTCTCTGCATTAATATGTGTCAGTATTTTTATTTTATTGATTTTATTATAACATTTATCTATTATTTGTGTATTTATATTTATTTGTTATTTTACTTTTTTTATTATTTTTTTTATTGGTAATTATTATATTTATTTTTCATTTTAGAAAATAATATTTGACTTCTCTCTTTGTTTACTTTTTTTTTTTTAGTTTTTTTGGGGTTTTTTTTTTTTTCTTTTTAAAGAGCCTATTCTCTTCCAAGATGGGAGGTGATAAGATCATGCAATTTCTGCTCCCCTGTTTGTTTCTGATCCCAAATCCATTGACTACCTAGGAGATCCACTTCCATGGACCTTCAGTCAATGTCTGTGTCTCTGCATCAATATGTGTCAGTATTTTTATTTTATTGATTTTATTATAATATTTTATTATTTTATCTATTATTTATGTATTTATATTTATTTGTTATTTATTTTAATTTCTATTCATTGTTTTGATTGGTAATGATTATATTTATTTTTCATTTTAGAAAATAATATTTGACTTCTCAGTTTGTTTACTTGTTTTTTTTTGTTTTTGTTTTTTTGGGTTTATGCAACCTGACCACTGTCCCCCCAACACTGTCAATTCACTTGACTTGGAGGTCATTAATAGTTTAAAACAGAAACGTAATCGTGATTCCCCTGGAAAAAGAATTCCTTTTAGGTTTCCAACGTAATATGAAAACAGCATTTTCTATAGGCAGCATCACCGGATTACCGTTACACTAAGGACTGAAAAGCTATAAACAGGGGCGGACTGACCATTTGGAAACTCTGCACTGCCCGAGGGCCCGGGGTCAGTAGGGGCCCCATGAGATGCCCCTGGTACCTTTTTCATAGGCTTTTTTGAGTTTGGACAAGGACACAGGGGCCTCATGATCCCCTATTGCCCGGGGGCCCCATGAGTTGTCAGTCCGCCCCTGGCTATAAATATTATAAAGAGTTGATGGCAATAAAACGTTACCATAAAATAGAGATCAATATAAGTTCATTAGCACATTTTGGTCAGACAACCTCACCATGTTGATGCTGCCAGAAATTTGTAACCAGGGGCGGACTGACCATTTGGAAACTCGGGCACTGCCTGAGGCCCGGGGTCAGTAGGGGGCCCCATGAGATGCCCCTGGTACCTTTCTCATAGGCTTTTTTGAGTTTTGGCAAGGACACAGGGGCCCCATGATCCCCTATTGCCTGGGGGCCCCATGAGTTGTCAGTCCGCCCCTGTTCGTAATTTTCCTGTGTCCTGTGCACTCTGAAGTCTTATCCCAGGCATTGTTATCAGGAGGTGTGTTGGGAGTACAGAGCCCGCCCTGCTATGTTATGGGCGGTGACACTCCTCCTTTATAGATACATTACAGGGAGTGAGTGTTGCCATCTTAGGATGGAGAGTGTGTTACTGGCAGGATCAAATAAAAAATAAAATAAAAATAACTGTTATCAAGACCGAAAAATGAAAACTAATGCAGCTGTCCCATTTAAGGACTGATAAACTGCAATATGTTACATTTTTGCTTTTAGGTTTAGATATACAGTGGATATAAAAAGTCTTCACACCCCTGTTAAAATGTCAGGTTTCTGTGATGTGAAAAAATGAGACAAAGATAAATCATTTCAGAACTTTTTCCACCTTTAATGGGACCTATAAACTGTACAACAAACTGAAATCTTTTAGGTGGAGGGAATTAAAAATAAAAAGCTAAAATAATCCGGTTGCATAAGTGTGCACACCCTTAAACTAATACTTTGTTGAAGCCCCTTTTGATTTGATTCCAGCACTGTCTTGTTGGGTATGAGTCTATCAGCATGGCACATCTTGACTTGGTAATATTTGCCCACTCTTCCTTGCAAAAACAATCCAAATCTGTCAGATTGTGAGGACATCTCCTGTGCACAGCCCTCTTCAGATCACCCCACAGATTTTCGATCGGATTCAGGTCTGGGCTCTGGCTGGGCCATTCCAAAACTTTAATCTTCTTCTGGTGAAGCCATTGCTTTGTTGATTTGGATGTATGCTTTGGGTCGTTGTCATGATGAAGTTCCTCTTCATGTTCAGCTTTCTAGCAGAAGCCTGAAGGTTTTGTGCCAATATTGACTGGTATTTGGAACTGTTCATAATTCCCTCTACCTTGACTAAGGTCCCAGTTCCAGCTGAAGAATAACAGCCTGAAACCATGATGCTGCCACCACCATGCTTCACAGTGGGTATGGTGTTCTTTTGGTGATGTGCAGTGTTGTTTTTGTGCCAAACATATCTTTTGGAATTATGGCCAAAAAGTTCAACCTTGGTTTCATCAGACCAGAACACATTTTCCCACAGGCTTTTGGGAGACTTCATATGTGTTTTTGCAAAATTTGGATTTTCTTCGTAAGAAAAGGCTTCTGTCTTGCCACTCTACCCCATAGCCCAGACGCATGAAGAATACAGGAGATTGTTGTCACATGTACCACACAGCCAGTACTTGCCAGATATTCCTGCAGCTCCTTTCATGTTGCTGTAGGCTTCTTGGCAGCCTCCCAGTCCAGTTTTCTTCTCGTCTTTTCATCAGTTTTGGAGGGACGTCCAGTTCTTAGTAATGTCACTGTTGTGCCATATTTTCTCCACTTGATGACTGTCTTCACTGTGTTCCATGGTATATCTAATGCCTTGGAAATTCTTGTGTACCCTTCTCCTGACTGATACCTTTTAACAATGAGATACCTCTGATGCTTTAGAAGCTCTCTACGGACCATGGCTTTTGCTGTAGGATGCGACTAGGAAAATGTCAGGAAAGACCTACTAGTACAGCTGAACTTTATTTGGGGTTAATCAGAGGCACTTTAAATGATGGCAGGTGTGTACTGACTCCTATTTAACATGATTTTGAATGTGATTGCTTAATTCTGAACACAGCTACATCCCCAGTTGTAAGAGAGTGTGCACACTTATGCAACCACATTATTTTAGTTTTTTAAGTTTACTCCTCCCCCCCCCTCCAAAAAAAAAAAAAAAGTTTCAGTTTGTTTTTCAATTGAGTTGTACAGTTTATAGGTCACATTAAAGATGGAAAAAGTTATTTGTCTAATTTTGTTATAGCACAGAAACCTGACATTTTAACAGGGGTGTGTAGACTTTTTACATCCACTTTACTTTGGTTTCACTCTTTTGGTAGGTTGGGGTTTTGATTAGTGTTGGACTGTAACTCTTTGACAACTGACATATCGGGCTCCTTCACACAGGTGGCCACTGTGGTTCAACTGCCTGTTTTTACCACCCCACTGACTGCCCACCTAATTTCTACCATTATAGCCAGATGAGGCTGTACATGTGCCCTAACTGTGAGCAATTTTAACTTGGCTAGCAGAGTCAACATGTGCCCATTGAAGTCAATAGGAGTACACTGCAACTATGAGACAAGCCCAACGGATACAATTCAAAACATTAACAATAACATATAAAGCCATTTATAACTCCGCCCCAAATTACATCACCATTCTTGTCTCCAAATATCACCCAAACCGTACTCTCCGCTCCTCGCACAACCTCCTGCTCTCTAGCTCCTTAGTCTCCTTCTCCCATGCTAGTCTCTAGGACTTCTCCAGAGCCTCCCCCATCCTCTGGAACTCTCTACCCCAATTTATCAGACTATTGCCTACTCTGCCCACTTTTAGGCAATCTCTGAAAACCTATCTCTTCAGGGAAGCCTGTCCTGCCCTCAGCTAATAATGTAATCTTCTATTCCTCCTACCAGTCCATCCCCCACAGTTACTACATTTTGTACCACTAGCCCCTCCCTCCTAGATTGTAAGCTCCAAGGAGCAGGGCCCTCCTAACCCTCTTGTATTGAACTGTATTGTTGCTGTATTGTCTCCCGTTATATTGTAAAGCGCTGAGCAAACTGTTGGCGCTATATAAATCCTGAATAATAATAATAATAATCATAACTCTTGGCTCTTGGTTGCGGTGCTTTTTTTTTTTAGCACAAAAAACAGACATACAGAAGGTGGTAGGATCACCTCCTGGACACCTAGCAGCCACTGTTATACTGCCATCTGAAAAGTGATCCAGTGCAGATAGTTTTCAGTGGGCACTATTGCTAATTTGAAAAATCCAAAAGGCAGAAGAGGCAACATGGAAGGACAAAATCCAAAAATAGTGCAGCCACGGATGTGAAAACTGTCACATAGACATTGTCACATTAACACATTTTTTTTCACATTCTAACATTAGACTCAGAAGAGGTATAACTGAGGAGGAGATATACGGAAGCACAATAAGGACCGTCAATCCGCCTTAGGAAATAATTACGGCACTGGAAATGTCCTGGTTTTAGTCTTTAGGCTGGGCAAAGCAGCGAGGGGATAATGATGGAACCAAGAATAGATTGCAGAGCGAACCAGATCCTTGTGTAGAACAGGATAACCTGCGCTATAGAAAACCTGGCCACAGCTTGGGGGATCGGCGGCTCAGAAAATGATACAGTTGCTTGACTTTATTACAAATGCCATAACTGTATTGTTTAGTGAACGGTGGCGGACTGACAACTCATGTCGCCCCCCCGGGCAATATTGGATCATGGGACCCCTGTGTTCTTGCCCAAACTCAAAAAAGCCAATGAAAAAGGTACCAGGGGCATCTCATGGGGCCCCCTACTGACCCCGGGCCCTTGGGCAGTGCCCGAGTTTCCAAATGGTCAGTCCGCCCCTGTTAGTGAATGTTTTACAATGATAAAACCTCCTAGTAGCCTTTCATCACTTAAGGGCCGGGGGCCCAATAATGGTTTTCCTAAGGGGCCTCATGAAAGCCATTGATTTTACAATACACCGAGTGTCTAAGGAGCCTCTTCTAGATGAAGGTTTACTTTGAATAGAATTTTTTTTTTCCTTAATTTCCCTGAATCGCAGAGCATTTTTGTTGCTTTTTGATGTCTTGGTTCCTTGTTTGTACGTCTAACCCAGTGTTTCTCAACTCCAGTCCTCATGGACCCCCAACAGGTTATGTTTTCAGGATTTCCATTATTTTGCACAGGTGATTTGATCAGTTTCACTGCCTTAGTAATTACCACAGCTGTTTCATCTGAGGGAAATCCTGAAAACATGACCTGTTGGGGGTCCATGAGGACTGGAGTTGAGAAACACTGGTCTAACCTAACAAGTGTTACATCATTTTTTTTTCTGGAGAGATAGGCCTTTAATTTGGTAGCAAATGTGGATGCATACAGTTTTATATCATTGATCCTAATATTTTATCAGGAATAAATAGTAAAAAAAAACAACTACTAGACTAGAATTTTGTTTTAAACCACTTCACAACTGTGCTACAGCCGAAAGATGGCTACCGCATGGTTGTCCTGTTCTGGGAGGGCTTCATATGACATCCTCCCAGAACGCGCTCTCCTGCGCTGCACACCGGGCGCTGTCCGTGAACACTGTGTCCACAGCGGCCTTTTACCATGTGATCAGCTGTGTCCAATGACACAGTTGATGGTTATTGACTGCACTTTCACTGTCACAGCGTGAGGAAAGTACTGCCAATAACCGGCAAATGTGACAGAGGACATATGCACTGATCATCAGGGCACTGATCATCAGTACCCTGATGATCAATTCCCAGCAGTACCGCCCATCAGTGCCACCCACCAGTGCCCAGCAGTGCCACCAATCAGTACTGCCCAGCAGTGCCGCCCAGCAGTGCCAACTAACAGTACCAAACAGTGCCACCCAGCAATGCTGTCAGTCAGTGCCGCCAAATTAGCACTGCCTAACAGTGTCGCCCATCAGTGCCACCTATCAGTGCCCATCAGTGCCCATCATTGCTGCATATCAGTGCAGCATCATCAGTGCCTCCTCATCAATGCCCACCAGTGCCGCCTCATCAGTGCTACCTCATTCGTGCAGTCTATCAGTGCTGCCTATCTGTGCCACCTCATCAGTGCCCACCAGTGCCACCTCATCAGTGCTACCTCATCAGTGCAGCCTATCAGTGCCCATCAGTGCTGCCTATCTGTGTCACCTCATCAGTGCTCATTAGTGCAGCCTATCAGTGCCCATCAGTGCAGCCTCATCAACGCACATCAGTGAAGGAGAAAAATTACCTGTTAGCAACATTTTATAATAGAAACAAAGAAAAACTTTTTTTTTTTCATATTTTGTGCTGTTTATTTGTTTATAGTGCAAAAAATAAAACACCCAGCAGCAATTAAATACCACCAAAAGAAAGCTCTACGTGTGTGAAAAAATAATAAAAATGTCATATGGGTACAATGTTGCATGACCGCGCAATTGTCATTCAAAGTGCGATAGCACTGAAAGCTGAAAATTGGCCTGGGTATGAAGGGGGTAAACGTGCCCTTTAGGCAAGTGGCAGGGGCGGACTGGCAACTCATGGGGCACCTGGGCAATAGGAGATCATGGGGCCCCTGTGTCCTCACCCAAACTCAAAAAAAGCCTATGAAAAAGGTACCAGGGGCATCTCATGGGGCCCCCCTATTGACCCCGGGCCCTCGGGCAGTGCCCGAGTTTCCAAATGATCAGTCCACCCCTGGCAAGTGGTTAAAAAGGGCTACCATGTCCATCAACCTCCACTGTTGTGTAGTCTCCATTATTTCTAGGACGGATAAGTGGTAGGGGTAGATACTGGCCTAGTGATAGGACTTATATACCCTCGTGGTGGATGAGAGAGAAGGCTGAGTGGAAGAGAAGAGAGAGAAAAGCAGCAAACAGATGAGAAGATTCAAAGAACAGACAGCTTGAACAAAATTCCACTTCCTAGTGACCACAATAGTTATTTCAAGATTGAAAATATCTGTTGTAGCCATTAAGAGGTGAAGAGCATGCACAGCAATGCGGAGCAGGAAGATCAGGGACCGGCTCTTCATTCCTATCACTCACGGTAGCATACGTACTTCACTGAGCTTGTTTTCATGTATTTGATGTCGTTAGTCATTTCTTTTTTTTCATAAAAATACTATATACACTATGCAAAACCCACTATGTAAAATGATCTTCACATTTGATCCTTTTTGGTCTGTTAAAAATATTTATTTTTTTTATGGTACTTATATAGCGCTGTTAATGTATGAAGCGCTTTACATATATATTGTACATTCACATCAGTCCCTAACCCTCAACAAGGTGTACAATCTAAGGTCCCTAACTCACATTCATACATACACATACTAGGGCCAATTTAGACAGGATCCAATTAACCTACCAGCATGTCTTTGGAGTGTGGGAGGAAACCGGAGTACCCAGGAGGAAACCCACACAGGCACAGAGAGAGAACATGCAAACTCCAGGCAGGTGGTGCCGTGGTTCGGTTTCGAACCGATGACCCTAGTACTACCAGGTGGAAGTGCTAACCATTTAGCCACCGTGCTGCCCAAAAATACAATTTTAGAAAGCTTACAATTTTACAATTGTAAGCTTTCAAGCGCCTAACCCTTTTGTATCTAATTTGATTGTAACTGTAGTGTTCCTCTATTTTCCATAATTGTTGTCACTATATAAATCCTGTGTATAATAATCAGAAACATAACGGCGTAAAGTGTTTTGTTAATTCTGTTCAATAAGTGCAAACTATACCTCACCATGTTGATCCTGCCAGAAATTCTGAACTTTCCTGTGTCCTGTGCACTCTGAAGTCCTATCCCAGGCATTGCCTGCCCTGCTATGTGATGGGTGATGACACTCCTCCTTTATAGATACATTACAGTGTGTGAGTGTTGTCATCCTAGGATGGAGAGTGTGTTACTGGCAGGATCACCGGGTGAAAATAACTGTCATCAAGACCAACATATGAATACTAATGCAGCTGTCCCATCTAAGGACTGGTAAGCTGCAATATGTTACATTTATGTTTTTAGGTTTAGATATACTTTAGGATTGGTGTGATAGGTTGGGGTTTTTATTAGGGTAAGACTAACTCTTTGACAACTGACATATAGGGCTCCTTCACACGGGTGGCCACTGTGGTTCAACTGCCTGTTTTTAACACACCCCCCCCCCCACTGACTGCCCACCTAATTTCTACCATTATAGCCAGATGAGGCTGTACACGTGCCCTAACTGTGAGCAATTGTAACTTGGCTAGCAGAGTCAAAATATACCCATTATTTTTTTTTTTTAATTTAAATTTTATTTATTTTCCATATATATTGCACATTTCAACATTATTCTCATACAAATTTACATATCTTTAATAACATTTCTAACTATCTCTATTCCCATTTACCACCCCTCCTCAATCTAATTTCCCCCCCACCCGAGGAAGAAAAAAAAAAAAAAAAAACACCCCATATAAACCCATCCACTCTGCATAATTCAATTATCCCTCTTCATACGCGAATATAGGAAATTTAAAACCTTCTATCCTTCTCACATAGTTACTCCATATATTTCACCATGTATTCTTCCCATGTTCTCCCACCTCTTATAGAACAACCCCATCCTGTCTTCCTGCATATAACACAATCTCTCCATCTTACAAATTTGATTAGTTCTTTCCACCCAATCCTCTATCTTAGGCACCTCTGGTCTATGCCAAAACTTAGGTATCAGACCCTTCGCCGCATTTAGATAGCACCATATACCCGAATCCTTGTACTTATTTACTGATAACTCTGTACTATGTAGTAGACATACTGCTGGGTCCAGTCCTATCTTTATCCCAGAGATATTCTCAATTACTTGGACAATTATCTCCCAGAAACCTTGAATCTTTGGGCACTCCCACCATATATGATATATGATTTTTTTTTTTTTTTTTCCCTTCAAAATATACCCATTAAAGGCAATAGGAGTGCACTGCAACTACGAACCAAAGTCTTGACTCTTGGTTGTGTCGCATTTTTTTTTTTTAGCACATAAAACAGACATACAGAAGGTGGTAGGATCACCTCCTGGACACCTAGCACCTAACTGTTATACTGCCATCTGAAAAGTGATCCAGAGCTGATAGTTTTCAGAGGGCGGTAGGCACTATTGCTAATTTGAAAAAGGCAAAAGAGGCAACATGGGAGGAGAAAATCCACAAATAAATCTCACTTTCCCTCCACTTTTGTGCTCCACGTATGTAAGATTGTGACGGCGTTGATTGATTGTACAGCACAGCGATGGGACAGAAGTGCAGCCACGGATGTGAAAATCGTCAGCTCTTTAGGATCTTGTCAGGAAGTGCGGATATTTGTATCTTGTATAGATAATCCATACACCTGCCAATAACTGCTTAGTACATTCCAGTGTTAGACGGACGGCTGCCTTCACCGGAACACCCTCTATTAATCTCAACTGCCGCCTCGCCGTAACTCCCCCATCAGCCCAACTCTGCAGCCTGGTTTACTGAATGAGCTGAGTACACGAGGAGTTGTCCTTGTCACCGTGCCTGAAAGTCATTTTTGATGTGACTTTTACATTTTTACTTCTTTGCAATTCAATGTTTTAATGGCTGCGTTTCAAAGGCAGAATTCAAATGCTTTGCGTGGTGGTGAGCGTACACAATGTATAGGCCAGAGAAAATGTCATTACCAAACGGCCCTGCTCACATGGATGTGCCGCACTGAGGAGGCCTGTGCAATACGGAAATAAAATGCAACACGATGCATCGAACATTTGTGTCACAGCACACTACACCAACACAACACGTATTTGTAAGTGAATATACCTGCTAGTTTGTGACATACACCTTACTTTGTAGAAAGCAATGCAACACTAAACCTCCCTATAACTGTAACCCTAACACTAATCCTCCCTATAACTGTAATCCTAACACTAATCCTCCCTATAACTGTAACCCTAACACTAATCCTCCCTATAACTGTAATCCTAACACTAATCCTCTATAACTGTAATCCTAACACTAATCCTCCCTATAACTGTAATCCTAACACTAATCCTCCCTATAACTGTAATCCTAACACTAATCCTCCCTATAACTGTAACCCTAACACTAATCCTCCCCGTAACTGTAATCCTAACACTAATCCTCCCTATAATTGTTGTACAACCCTCCCCGCTGAACACAAACCCTTTAACTGTAATAAACACTAACCCTCCCTCTAGTAATAACATTAATAACTGTAATAACACTAATCCTCCCTATTACTGTAATCCTAACACTAATGATCCCTATAACTGTAATCCTAACACACTAATCTTCCCTATAACCGTAATCCTAACATTAATCCTCCCTGTAACTGTAATCCTAACACTAACCCTCCCCATAACTGTAATCCTAACACTAACCATCCCCGTAACTGTAATCCTAACAC